ACGTACACACACACACACACGTACACACACGCACACACGCACACGCACGTACACACATGCACACACGCACACACACACGTACACACACACGTACACACGCACACTCACGTACACACACACGTACACACACGTACACACACACACACGTACACACACACACGTACAGACACGCACACACGCACGTACACACATGCACACACGCACACACACACACACGTACACACACGCACACACGTGTACACACACACACGTGTACACACACACGTACACACACACACGTACACACACACACGTGTACACACACACGTACACACACACACACGTACACACACGTACACACACACACACGTACACACACACGTACACACACACGTACACACACACACGCACGCGAGCGCCGAACGAGCGCCACGCCGGTGTCCGCCCCAACGGGGGCCACGAGGCGGCCGCTGCCGGTACCCCCCCGGGGCGGGGACCGGCAGCGGTCCCCGCGACCCTCGCGGCCTCCTCCTCGCGCGGCGACGTCACGGACCCCCTCCCGTGTCGATCCACGCCACCGGGGCCGGCCTCGAGCGGGGAGGAGTGGGGGGGGTGCCCGTGGTGAAGTCCCCGCCCCGTGGCCCCCACCCGGTGGCCCCCGCCCCGTGGGCCCCGCCCCGTGGTGAAGACCCCGCCCCGTGGGCCCCGCCCCGTGGTGAAGTCCCCGCCCCGTGGCCCCCGCCCCGTGGCCCCCGCCCCGTGGCCCCCGCCCCGTGGCCCCCACCCCGTGGGCCCCGCCCAACACCTCCAAGCGAGACCGGACGCGTTACGTCTGGCACCACCGTGACGTCAAAGCGCGGCCGGGCCCCCAAAAGCGTGGGGCCCGGGGCAGTCGCCCAGATTCGCCGTTACCCCTTCGGGGTGCGGCTCTCCGCGCACCGCCTCTGTGGGTTTGCGTGGCGGGGAGCCGCAGACGGAGTACAGCACAACCACGTGTTCTACAGCACAACCACGTGTTCTACAGCACAACCACGTGTTCTGCAGCACAACCACGTGTTCTGCAGCACAACCACGTGTTCTGCAGCACAGCCACGTGTTCTACAGCACAACCACGTGTTCTGCAGCACAACCACGTGTTCTGCAGCACAACCACGTGTTCTACAGCACAACCACGTGTTCTGCAGCACAACCACGTGTTCTGCAGCACAACCACGTGTTCTACAGCACAACCACGTGTTCTGCAGCACAACCACGTGTTCTGCAGCACAACCACGTGTTCTGCAGCACAACCACGTGTTCTGCAGCACAACCACGTGTTCTGCAGCACAGCCACGTGTTCTGCAGCACAACCACGTGTTCTACAGCACAACCACGTGTTCTGCGGCACAACCACGTGTTCTGCAGCACAACCACGTGTTCTACAGCACAGCCACGTGTTCTGCAGCACAACCACGTGTTCTGCAGCACAGCCACGTGTTCTGCAGCACAACCACGTGTTCTACAGCACAACCACGTGTTCTGCGGCACAACCACGTGTTCTGCAGCACAACCACGTGTTCTACAGCACAGCCACGTGTTCTGCAGCACAACCACGTGTTCTGCAGCACAGCCACGTGTTCTACAGCACAACCACGTGTTCTACAGCACAGCCACGTGTTCTGCAGCACAACCACGTGTTCTGCAGCACAACCACGTGTTCTGCAGCACAACCACGTGTTCTACAGCACAGCCACGTGTTCTGCAGCACAGCCACGTGTTCTGCAGCACAACCACGTGTTCTGCAGCACAGCCACGTGTTCTACAGCACAGCCACGTGTTCTGCAGCACAACCACGTGTTCTGCAGCACAGCCACGTGTTCTACAGCACAACCACGTGTCCTGCAGCACAACCACGTGTTCTGCAGCACAACCACGTGTTCTGCAGCACAACCACGTGTTCTGCAGCACAACCACGTGTTCTGCAGCACAACTACGTGTTCTGCAGCACAACCACGTGTTCTACAGCACAGCCACGTGTTCTGCAGCACAACCACGTGTTCTGCAGCACAGCCACGTGTTCTACAGCACAACCACGTGTTCTACAGCACAGCCACGTATTCTGCAGCACAACCACGTGTTCTGCAGCACAACCACGTGTTCTGCAGCACAACCACGTGTTCTGCAGCACAACCACGTGTTCTGCAGCACAACTACGTGTTCTGCAGCACAACCACGTGTTCTGCAGCACAGCCACGTGTTCTACAGCACAACCACGTGGTCTACAGCACAACCACGTGTTCTACAGTACGTGCTGACAGAATCACCCCACGGGCGAGGTGGTTAACATCTCCTAGCCACCGCGATGACGAGAGAGAGAGAGACGCAGTACAGCAGCAGGCGTCAGGGTCGAGATCGAACCCGCGAGGGGTTTCCCGAGGCGACTGGCGGCGTTCGTCGACGGGTGTGCTCAGAACCGGCTTGGCAGGAATCCGCGGCTCACAACAACAACAACGACGCAGACCTCCCCCTCTCCGTATCCTGTAGCCGATCGCCCCGCAGGCTACCCGAACAAACATGTTGTCCGTAAGCATTTGTGTAAGCTAGCTAGCAAACGGTGCGAGTTGTCACCGTCACTGCAGCCCTTTGGTTCTCAATGGTTAAACAAAAACATACGTCGAATGTTAATAAATACACGAGGGTTCGATTAAACAAAGTAGCTGCACTGACATGCCCGTGCATATTTGAAAACATCGGCCACGTCCAGCGCCTCTAGGGGTGCGTGACGCGCCCCTCTAGGGGTGCGTGACGCACCTCTAGAGGGGTGCGTGACGCCCCTCTAGAGGGGTGCGTGACGCACCTCTAGAGGGGTGCGTGACGCACCTCTAGAGGGGTGCGTGACGCACCTCTAGAGGGGTGCGTGACGCCCCTCGAGAGGGGTGCGTGACGCACCTCTAGGGGTGCGTGACGCACTTCTAGAGGGGTGCGTGACGCACCTCTCTAGAGGGGTGCGTAACGCCCCTCTCTAGAGGGGTGCGTGACGCCCCCCTCTAGAGGGGTGCGTGACGCCCCCCTCTAGAGGGGTGCGTGACGCCCCCCTCTAGAGGGGTGCGTGACGCACCTCTAGAGGGGTGCGTGACGCACCTCTAGGGGTGCGTGACGCACCTCTAGGGGTGCGTGACGCCCACCCCAGGCTAAGAACCGCTGCTCTCGAGGCAAAGCGATGAGGAGATGGAATCTGTTGGCCTCTGGGCTTTGCAAATCCCATTGTGCTGCTGACCCATTGTGCTGCTGACCCATTGTGCTTGTGACCCATTGTGCTCGTGACCCATTGTGCTGCTGACCCATTGTGCTGCTGACCCATTGTGCTTGTGACCCATTGTGCTCGTGACCCATTGTGCTGCTGACCCATTGTGCTTGTGACCCATTGTGCTTGTGACCTATTGTGCTTGTGACCCATTGTGCTTGTGACCTATTGTGCTGCTGACCCATTGTGCTGCTGAACTATTGTGCTCGTGACTCATTGTGCTGCTGACCCATTGTGCTCGTGACCCATTGTGCTTGTGACCCATTGTGCTGCTGACCCATTGTGCTTGTGACCCATTGTGACCCATTGTGCTGCTGACCCATTGTGCTGCTGACCCATTGTGCTTGTGACCCATTGTGCTGCTGACCCATTGTGCTTGTGACCCATTGTGACCCATTGTGCTGCTGACCCATTGTGCTGCTGACCCATTGTGCTTGTGACCCATTGTGCTGCAGACCCATTGTGCTCGTGACCCATTTTGATACTGACCCATTGTGCTTGTGACCCATTGTGCTGCTGACCCATTGTGCTGCTGACCCATTGTGCTGCTGACCCATTGTGCTGCTGACCCATTGTGCTTGTGACCCATTTTGCTGCTGACCCATTGTGCTTGTGACCCATTTTGCTGCTGACCCATTTTGCTTGTGACCCATTGTGCTGCTGACCCATTGTGCTCGTGACCTATTGGCACGGCTGCCGGTTGGTCGGAGCAGCTTCTCACGCTCGCGAAGGCGACACTACAACGGCACGGAAACAACAAAAACAACAACGACCACGACCTCACAAGCAGCAGAAGCCACCACCAGGCATCCTTGCGACACCCCGCGGTGATGACTCACTGCCACGGGCATCGTGGAAGACGGCGCGCTGCTAACCCGTGCCAGACTCTGTCCCCCCCTCTCTCTCTCCCTCTGTGTTTGTTCACAAAGACCACAAGAAACCACCAGCGGACGTAACCCCGACGCTCTCTCTCGCGTATTCTGGCCACATTCAGTTCCTCGTATCGCACGGGCAGTTGGAGGTGGTCAGCACCACGCCAGGCCGCCTTTGTCTCCCCAGTGGCGATGCCGTCACCGCAGGGCTGTGTGCCAGGCTAGGTGCGCTTCGAGGTTGTCGAAGGCTCGCTGCTGCTGGCGGGTCACGGAACAGAACCGGCACGGTGTCCACGGCTGGCAGAGATGCAACCACCCCCACCATGGTTGGTTGTTTTTAGTTGAACGTGTACGAGGTTGGGTGATTTGTTCATATTTCTTGTTTACTTTGCACCACTGTCGTTTTTTTTGTTTGTTGTGGCGTTCTTACCCCGTGCCCCTACTGGACATCCGTAAGAAGAGATCCCTCCTGCAATCTAAATAAATATTAAGATTCTGATTGAACGGCCCCTCCCAATGCCAAACCGAACCACTCCCCCACCACTCCCCCACCACTCCCACGCCACTCCCCCATCACTCCCACGCCACTTCCCCACCAGCCCCACGCCACTCCCCCACCAGCCCCACGCCACTCCCCCACCATCTCCACGCCACTCCCCCACCACTCCCACGCCACTCCCCCATCACTCCCACGCCACTCCCCCACCACTCCCACGCCACTCCCCCACCAGCCCCACGCCACTCCCCCACCACCCCCACGCCACTCCCCTACCACCTCCACGCCACTCCCCCACCACTCCCACGCCACTCCCCCACCACCCCCACGCCACTCCCCCATCACCCCCACGCCACTCCCCCACCACTCCCCCACCACCTCCACGCCACTCCTCCACCACTCCTCCCTGCTAACTTGAGACCAACCCCGGATGTGTTTATTGCTTCCATTCCCAACATCATCAGCGGCATCATCAACATCATCATAAACGGCATCAACAACATCATCAGCGGCTGACAACCGAATTGGTGGTCGTGCCGCGTCTTCATGCGTGAGCCGGAAGCCACCGGCACCCCACGTGGACGTCGCCGCTGATCACCACCACCGCTACCAGGCGCGCTGAGACAACGCCGCTCACCTGCGTCTCTCCCTCTCTTAGCTGGCTGGCGTCACCGCCACCACCGCTACCACCACCATCAACCACCGCTACCATCATCACATCACCGCCACCACCACCATCAACCACCGCTACCATCACACCACCGCCACCACCACCATCAACCACCGCTACCATCATCACACCACCGCTACCGCCACCATTAACCACCGCTACCATCATCAACCACCGCCACCACCGCCGTCGCCACCAGCATCAAGCAGCGCCAGCATCGCCAGCGCCATTTCCTCGTCGTGCAAGTGGCGAGGATCTTCACCCTCCAACCCGGGGACTGCGCGGGCACGAATCGCCTGCCGCTGATGCCCCAAGTGTCTGCCGAGACATGCAGTGAGTGTGTGTTAGTGTGTGTGTGTCTGTGTGTTAGTGTGTGTGTGTCTCGGTGTGTCTGTGTGTGTGTCTGTGTGTTAGTGTCTGTGTGTTAGTGTGTGTGTCTGTGTGTTAGTGTGAGTGTGTCTCGGTGTGTTAGTGTGAGTGTGTGAGTCTGTGTCTTCAGTACTTCCTCAACAGATGGCACCGCAGCCAGCCACTCACAGGGGGTGACTTCCTCCAATATTTGAGGCACCGCAGCCTCAGCAGGGTCATCCTCACTTTGTGCCACGATGTTTTCCTGGCTGAGGGATTTCCCCTCCCCCAGGACCTCACAGAAATGCTCAGCAAATCTTCAAACCTGTTCCTGGGGGTCTGCCCCGTGACCTGCCAGCGGGCGTTCGACACTCCACGTGGCCTCAAGGTGCACATGGCCTGGCACAAGCGTCGTGGTGACGTCACCGCCACTTAGTGGCGAATGGCGGTTGTTGTTGTGTCTCTGTGTGTGTGTCTCTTGATGTGATGGTGTAATCTGCATGTATCTGTGTATTTCGTCTGTACTGTAACATCGTGGGGAGCGGTGGGACAGCGGTTAGCAACTCCCGTCACGAACCCGCCCACTCTCGGTTCCATTCCCGGCTCTCACGGCCAACATCAGTGGCGACGGATATCCGAACCGGCCCTGTGCCTCCCACTGCGTCTGCTCATTCTTAAACGAGTAGCCGGTACGGTGGTGAGTTCTGGACATCGCCTCTGGGGAGACAAAGGCGGCCGGGCGTGGTGCCATCAGTCTGTTATAGGCTGCACGGAGTGGGGTGGTGGATCTTTGTCTCTGTGTCGCCTCGTGCTACGCGCCACATCTCCCGCCTACTGCAGCAGTTTCTGCTTGCTGTGGTTGTCCCACCTGATGACGATTGCTGGTGTTGCGATCGAAACGTCGTGATCTGTTCTTTTTCTACCCACGTGACTTTACCGAAAGAACCAAAAAGCATGGATTCCAGCAGGCACGAAAGCTTCAATGAATCAAGATTGTCTAGATCTTGTTATTGTTCCGCAAATAAAATGTAAACAAAATTTTCATCTATTTATTGTTCAGGGTAAGTCCCCACGGATCGACTGCCTAGCTCATTGTTTCTCAGAAGTGCTTCTGGCCATCGCCAATGATAGCCGGTGCCGGATGAAGCTCGTGCGGGGCCTGGAGCATTCGATGTTATAAAGGGGTCCTAAATAAATAAAAACACGTGAATATTAAAACACATTTTTAGCTTGCACAGTAAAGTAATTGTATTTTTTCATTTGCTGTACAGCCAGATAATACGACAAATCGCTCACCCAGTCGTTCGTATAAGTTGAAGGCGGTATAGTAATAGAGCAAGTGCAGAATCACTGAAACGGAATTGATGGCTTGAACGCATTTAGCGCGGGGCCCTTGAAAGTGCGGGGCCCGGAGTCACATTTGTAGCCAAGGAAGTGGCCGCATCGTCATCATTGTCATCGTCACGTGGAAATGTATCGCAGACAAATTCTCTGAAACCCGTGACGTTGATCCTGAACGTGGAGAGGAAAAACCGGAGGACCCGGAGAAAAATCCACGCAACCACAGGGAGAGAGGGAGAGAGACACCACAAACTCTAAATATACAGCAGCAGGCGTCCGGGTCGGGATCGAACCCACGACCTCCTGTGTACCAGGCGAGGTAGTTAACATCTCACCATGGAGAGACACGCAAACTCGAAATATACAGCAGGAGTCAGGGTCGGGATCGAACCCACGACCTCCTGTATACCAGGCGAGGTAGTTAACATCCTGTGTACCAGGCGAGGGAGTTAATGTCCATTAGCCGCCTTGGTTTGGGGGGTGCGGAGGGTGGAGTGTTAGGGTTGTTCACTCAGCCCATAAACCCTTTCCGGGGTCGATAAAAAAACGAGTATCGCCGTGTTGTAGAAGGGTGGGAAGTCGACAGTGGACTGTCCATCATAAAGGTTTTTGGGTTTGGTCGCGTAAATATAAATGCGTCTTTAAACCCACCACCCCTGGGGGGGACGCGGGGCCCCGGGGGACGTGACATTCGGAGCGTGAGTGTCAAATAGCGCGACCGCTGATCCCGGGAACTCGCCAACTCGCTGGGAACTCGCCCGCCGCCAGCCGCCTGGAGCGGTCAGGGTCAGCCCCCCCCACCCATTCTCGTCGTCGCTGCGATGAGTTTCCACGCGAGGTGATCAGCCCGCTTGGTTGAGCCGTCACTTGGGATAGGCCACGTTGAGGAAAGAGATCCATAGCTGAGTCGGCCCTGCCTGGTAAAGTCGACACCGTTGTAGAGTTGTATTGCACTTCTAGCGCTCCTGCCGTGGTTACTGCTCCCGTTGATTTGCTCCGGTCACTCGCTCGCCCACTCACTCACTACAAAGACAAAGATCACCCATTTAGCCTCAACAGACTGTAGGGGCAAGTGCTGTTAGCAAGTAGCACCTATGAAGGTCGGCACGGCACACGAGGGGGTGGGTGGCCAACACCACGCATGGCCGTCTTTGTCTCCCCAGTGGCGATGTTTTACACACCGCACCTGCTACTCATTTGAGGCTGAGTCGACCTAAGGGAGACCCAGGACCTGATTCAGATAATTATCACTGGTGTTGGTGGCCATGAACGGGAATTGAACTCGAGTGGCCGGGATTCGTAGCGCAGCGCGCCAACCGCTATGCCACTCATGACACCCACGCACTCGCATGCCAACTCAATCGCTCGCTCGCCCACTCACCCACCCCCTCACCCCCTCGCCCACTCTCCCACTCACCCACTCTCCCACCCACTCCCACTTTCCCACTCTCCCACCCACTCCCTCACCCACTCTCCCACCCACTCTCCCACCCACTCTCCCACCCACTCCCTCACCCACTCTCCCATTCCCTCACTCTCCCACTCTCCCACTCCCTCACCCACTCCCTCACCCACTCACCCACTCTCCCACTCACCCACCCACTCCCTCACCCACCCACTCCCTCACCCACTCACCCACTCACCCACTCTTCCACTATCCCACTCTCCCACCAACTCCCTCACCCACCCACTCCCTCACCCCCTCACCCACTCCCTCACTCACCCATTCTTCCACTCTCCCACTCACCCACTCTCCCATCCTCCCACTCACCCACTCTCCCACCCACTCCCTCACCCACTCTCCCACTCACCCACTCCCTCACTCTCCCACTCTCCCACTCCCTCACTCACCCACTCCCTCACTCACCCACTCTCCCACTCTCCCACTCTCCCACTCACCCACTCACTCCCTCTCTCTCAGTCATTTACCCTCCCTCTGCCCACCCACCACCCACCGAGCTGTGGTGAGGTTGCGTGCCGATGCCGGCGGCGGCGACTGCTGCCGGTAGCCGGGTTGAGAAGTCGCCGCGAGGCGTTTGGATTTAACGCCGCTCCACAGAGTCCGGATCCACGCGGGTGCCGCGTGTCTCGCCAGTACACACGCGGTGCGTCACGTGACGCAGCATCCTTTATTTAACCACGTGAACACCCACTGAGACCCAACGTCTCACGTGACCCGGCATCCTTTATTTAACCACGTGAACACCCACTGAGACCCAACGTCTCACGTGACCCGGCATCCTTTATTTAACCACGTGAACACCCACTGAGACCCAACGTCTCACGTGACCCGGCATCCTTTATTTAACCACGTGAACACCCACTGAGACCCAACGTCTCACGTGACCCGGCATCCTTTATTTAACCACGTGAACACCCACTGAGACCCAACGTCTCACGTGACCCGGCATCCTTTATTTAACCACGTGAACACCCACTGAGACCCAACGTCTCACGTAACCCGGCATCCTTTATTTAACCACGTGAACACCTTGCGGAGTTTTGCGATCGGTACCCGTGGGGTTGCTGTCGTCACAGTTGCCAGGCAGGGTCCCTCCGGGTGCCATGGCAGAGACGGTGGGAGGGAGGGGGGGTGGAGAGGCTTGCGGAGCCCCAATGCGGTTTCAGGAAAGTCTGTGGGTCTCCGTGGGTCTCTGTGTGAGTCTGTGTGTAGAGGCTTGCGGAGCCCCAATGCGGTTTCAGGAAAGTCTGTGGGTCTCCGTGGGTCTCTGTGTGTGTCTGTGTGTAGAGGCTTGCAGAGCCCCAATGCGGTTTCAGGAAAGGGCGGTCCTGCACAGATGCCATATTTTCTGTCCGTCTGCTACAGCAGAGGTGTAGGGAATTCCAGCAAGACCTACATCTCTGCTTCATTGACCTGGTCAAGGCCTATGATACCATCAGTAGGCCTGGGCTCTGGGTTGTTCTTCGTGCTTTCGGAGTCCTTGACCCCCTGCTCACGCTCATTAAGGACCTTCATGATGGTGAGCGGACCCGGGTAAAACTACGTGGCCGGGAGTCAGAGCCATTCCCTGTACACCTTGGGGTGCGACAGGGATGTCCTCTGGCTCCCACATTATTTAACATTTATTTTGACCACGTAGTTCGTGAAGCCTTCAATCCTGTACCGGAGGAATTTCCATTTGGTACAGATACAATGGGAGGCTGATCGATGCCCGGGTGCGGTCAAGGGATGGCTCCCTGTTGCTCAACTACGTTATGTATGCCGATGATCTGGTAAATGCTGCTCACTCAGAGGTGGAATTGGAGGCGCTGCTGCTGAACCTAGAGCTTGCCACCAAGAGGTGGGGCCTTACCATCAGCCCCACCAAAACTAAGCACCTGCCTGGGTATGTTGTACCATTGGAAACTCCACCCCCACAATTCCCAATTGGTGTTGGGGCAGTTGTGGAGAGAGTGGAGAGTTTCTCATACCTAGGCAGTGTGCTCACGACCGGCTCCGGTTTAAAAGCAGAGGTCTCACTCCGAATCAGTCGAGCAGCATTATCTTTTCATCGGTTGCGTAACGCTGTGTGGAAGCTACCTGGTCTATCACTCCGCACGAAGCTTCAGGTCTTCTCGGCCACGGTCATTCCCTCCCTTCTCTACGCTTGCGAAACGTGGACCCCCCTAATGGAACATTGTCGCTGGTTAGAAACATTTAGGCTGGCCTGCCTACGATCAATCCTGGGTTTAACCAGGCTGGATTGTGTAAGGAGCTCACAAATCCCATCGGTGAGCTCCTCCGGCAGGCAAGGCTGTGTTGGCTGGGTCATGTAGCCCGCATGCCCAGCCACCGCATGCCTAAACAGTTCGGCCAGATCGAGGGGGCTAAACGGGCGCGGCAGGGCTAGGAAAGAGATGGAGTGACGTGGTACAGGAGGACGTGGAGCTGAGTGGACTTGCCGATGACTGGTACCAGCGGTGTCAAGATCGGCCTCTGTGGAGGAGGCTCGTGAAGGACGCTACTGGGCAGTTGGAGGCAGTCGCCCTCCAACAACAACGGAGGGCGGAGGAGCAACGAGCGGAGTGCCGGGTGGCTAGAGCACAGCAGGTTGGCACAGTAGGGGATACAGGTGGTGCATCAGCCACTCATCTCAGTCATCTTAGGCAGTCGACCCGTGGCACCTGCTGGGTCTGCCCCGTGACCTGCCAGCGGGCGTTCGACACTTCACGTGGCTTCAAGGTGCACATGGCCTGGCACAAGCGTCGTGGTGACGTCACCGCCACTTCATGGCGAATGACGGTTGTTGTAGCCTCTAACACCTGGGAATCCGGCACCACTTGTTTACTTGTTGTTGTTGTCAGCCGGTGGCTTCCCACTGCTGGTCACAGCCCTCCCTATTCTCTTCCCTTTCTCAGTGGGTCTCTGTGGGTCTCTGTGTGTGTCTGTGGGTCTCTCTGTGACGTCTGTGGGTTCTCTGTGTGAGTCTGTGGGTCTCTGTGTGAGTCTGTGGGTCTCTATGTGAGTCTGTGGGTCTCTGTGTGAGTCTGTGGGTCTCTGTGTGAGTCTGTGGGTCTCTGTGTGACGTCTGTGGGTCTCTTTGTGAGTCTGTGGGTCTCTGTGTGAGTCTGTGTGACGTCTGTGTGACGTCTGTGTGAGTCTGTGTGAGTCTGTGTGAGTCTGTGGGTCTCTGTGTGAGTCTGTGGGTCTCTGTGTGAGTCTGCGGGTCTCTGTGTGAGTCTGTGGGTCTCTGTGTGAGTTTGTGTGAGTCTGTGTGAGTCTGTGGGTCTCTGTGTGAGTCTGTGGGTCTCTGTGTGACGTCTGTGGGTCTCTGTGTGAGTCTGTGACGTCTGTGGGTCTCTGTGTGACGTCTGTGGGTCTCTGTGTGACGTCTGTGGGTCTCTGTGGGTCTCTGTGTGACGTCTGTGTGAGTCTGTGTGAGTCTGTGTGACGTCTGTGGGTCTCTGTGGGTCTCTGTGGGTCTCTGTGTGACGTCTGTGTGAGTCTGTGTGACGTCTGTGGGTCTCTGTGTGAGTCTGTGGGTCTATGTGGGTCTCTGTGCGAGTCTGTGGGTCTCTGTGTGAGTCTGTGGGTCTCTATGTGAGTCTGTGGTCTCTGTGTGAGTCTGTGAGTCTGTGGGTCTCTGTGTGACGTCTGTGGGTCTCTGTGTGACGTCTGTGTGAGCCTGTGCGAGTCTGTGGGTCTCTGTGTGAGTCTGTGGGTCTCAGTGTGACGCCTGTGTGAGTCTGTGGGTCTCTGTGTGAGTCTGTGAGTCTGTGGGTCTCTGTGTGAGTCTGTGGGTCTCTGTGGGTCTCTGTGTGAGTCTGTGCGAGTCTGTGGGTCTCTGTGTGACGTCTGTGGGTCTCAGTGTGACGTCTGTGTGAGTCTGTGGGTCTCTGTGTGAGTCTGTGGGTCTCTGTGTGACGTCTGTGGGTCTCTGTGTGACGTCTGTGGGTCTCTGTGTGACGTCTGTGAGTGTGGGTCTCTGTGTGAGTCTGTGGGTCTCTGTGTGAGTCTGTGGGTCTCTGTGTGAGTCTGTGGGTCTCTGTGTGACGTCTGTGAGTCTCTGTGTGAGTCTGTGGGTCTCTGTGTGACGTCTGTGAGTCTCTGTGTGAGTCTGTGTGAGTCTGTGGGTCTCTGTGTGAGTCTGTGGGTCTCTGTGTGAGTCTGTGGGTCTCTGTGTGAGTCTGTGGGTCTCTGTGTGAGTCTGTGGGTCTCTGTGTGAGTCTGTGGGTCTCTGTGGATCTCTGTGTGAGTCTGTGGGTCTCTGTGTGAGTCTGTGGGTCTCTGTGTGAGTCTGTGGGTCTCTGTGTGAGTCTGTGGGTCTCTGTGTGAGTCTGTGGGTCTCTGTGTGAGTCTGTGGGTCTCTGTGTGAGTCTGTGGGTCTCTGTGTGAGTCCGTGGGTCTCTGTGTGAGTCTGTGGGTCTCTGTGTGAGTCTGTGTTAGCCTGTGGGTCTCTGTGTGAGTCTGTGTGAGTCTGTGTGAGTCTGTGTGAGTCTGTGGGTCTCTGTGTGAGTCTGTGGGTCTCTGTGTGAGTCTGTGGGTCCCTGTGAGTGATCATGGTAGTTCACGGGACGTGACCGCGTTTCCTGTTGACGCTCTGTGTACGTTGGACTCGGCAATTTAAACCAAACCTCTTTATCTGAGCCTCGCCTCTGACTGCAAGGCACGTGTGGAATGCCGCAGTTCCTGTCCACCCGCATTGCGAGCTTGCTTTGAGGCTCCACCGAGCAGCTGCCACCTTTGCCACCTTTGCCACCTGGTCACTTGCAGACAAACGTACGCTGTGACAGTCTGTGGTAGGCTGTGATGGGTAGGCTGTGATGGGTAGGCTGTGATGGGTAGGCTGTGATGGGTAGGCTGTGACAGTCTGCGGTAGGCTGTGATGGGTAGGCTGTGATGGGTAGGCTGTGATGGGTTGGCTGTGATGAGTAGGCTGTGACAGTCTGCGGTAGGCTGTGATGGGTAGGCTGTGATGGGTTGGCTGTGATGAGTAGGCTGTGACAGTCTGCGGTAGGCTGTGATGGGTAGCCTGTGATGGGTAGGCTGTGATGGGTAGGCTGTGATGGGTAGGCTGTGATGGGTAGGCTGTGATGGGTAGGCTGTGATGGGTAGGCTGTGATGGGTAGGCTGTGATGGGTAGGCTGTGATGGGTAGGCTGTGATGGGTAGGCTGTGATGGGTAGGCTGTGATGGGTAGGCTGTGATGGGTAGGCTGTGATGGGTAGGCTGTGATTGGTAGGCTGTGGCAGCAGACTGACGCCTCCTTCTTCTCCCATGGACAGGGCGTCGGAAACCTGTCGAAGCGTCCTGTCCAGCATCTCCAGCCGGTTCTCCGGGGACCACCGCGCGACTTCTGTCGAACCTCGGCTCGACCACCACGAGCACCACCACCACCACCACCAGCACCGCAAGGTCGTGCCGCGGAATGGAACGCTCGACGCCGAGTGGGAGAGGCTCACGAAGCGCTTGCCGGGGAATGAGATCCGCACCACCAAGTACACGCTGCTCAGCTTCCTGCCCAAGAACCTGTTTGAGCAGTTCCACAGGCGAGTGCTGCTCCGGTCATCTTGGTTAGCCGGGCGGAGGGTTGCGGCGGCCGCCTTTGCTCCGGCGCCGCTCGGGCAAAGCGGCCGGGGGTTGGTGTGGATCGACCGGCACGGACGTTGCGCGTCGAGGAGGAGCCGTGCCCTTGGCTCTGTCGGGAGAACCGCGAACAAAATGTGGACTCTTGCCTGCTGTTCTCTCTGTACGGGGGGGATCGAGCGTCTCCCCCTCGCACGCGTGGGTTTCTCCCCGGGCGCTCCGGTCTTCTTCCCGCGTGTAAAACATTCGTCGATTGGCCGATGGCACCTTCATAAACGGAGGAAGCGCGGAGCTCGGGCAATTGTTGTTAGCGGCGGCTCACCGCCTGGCGGCTGCTGCTGCCTTCCCGTTGGTCTGTGGGCTCCTCCTCCTGGCGCCTCCGAGTCGACGTGCACCCTTCTCTCTTCTTCTCAACGAGAGCGGTGGCGTTGCGGCGCTGCAGGTTGAGGTTATTTAATCTTCTTGTTTTTGTTGTTATTCTTGTACTTCCTCTACTTGTTCTTCTTGGTCTACTTCTTGTTCTTCTTGTTCTTCTTGTTCTTCCTCTACTTGTTCTTCTACTTGTTGTTCTACTTGTTCTTCTTCTACTTGTTGTTCTACTTGTTCTGCTTCTACTTGTTCTTCTTCTACTTGTTCTTGTTCTTCTTCTTGTTCTTGTAGGTCTTCTTCTTCTTGTTTTTTGTTGTTCTTCTTCTACCTCTTATTGTTCTTCTACTTTTTCTTCTTCTACTTGTTCTTCTTCTTGTTTTTCTTCTACTTATTCTTCTTGTTCTTCTTCTTGTTCTTCTTCCACACGGCGCAGAGCGACAACTGAGCAACATGTGCAACTTCACGTTCCAGTGGTCACGCCCAGACCACCGTGCGCGGGGGCAGCGGTCGCGACAGGTCGTTTAGCGACGACGGTTTTGGCGAGCTTCCCGCGCGGCGGAGCCGGCCCGGCGAATCACCTGTCCCCCTCCGTCACCGCCGCTCCCCGCCCCTCACCGAGCGCAGGTTCGCCAACGTCTACTTCCTCTTCCTGGTGGTTCTCAACTGGGTGCCGCTGGTGGAGGCGTTCCAAAAGGAGATCACCATGATCCCCCTAGTGGTGGTGCTCGGAGTCATCGCCGTCAAGGACGGCCTCGAGGACTTCCGGCGCTATGCCATGGACCGCGTCGTCAACAACGCCGGCACCGCCGTCTACGAGCGGTCAGTGTGCCGGGCGGCGGTGGTGGCGGGGACGGCGGTGGTGATGGTGGTGAAGGGTGGGAGTGATAGTGGTGACGGCGGTGGTGGTGGTGACGGTGGGAGTGATGCCGGTGGTGATGGTGGCAGTGGCGATGATGGTGGTGATGGTGGTAAAGGGTGACGGTGGTGGTGACGGTGGTGGTGGTGACGGTGGTGGTGGTGACGGTGGGAGTGATGGTGATGGTGGTGAAGGTGACGGTGGTGATGGTGGCGTAGGTGACGGTGGTGGTGGTGACGGTGGGAGTGACAGTGATGGTGGTGGTGACGGTGGTGAAGGTGACGGTGGTGAAGGTGGCGGTGGTGAAGGTGATGGTGGTAGTGACGATGGTAGTGGTGACGGTGGCGAAGGTGACGGTGGTGAAGGTGGCGAAGGTGACGGTGGTGATGGTGGTGACGGTGGTGGTGAAGGTGACGGTGGTGGCGAAGGTGGCGGTGGTGGTGAAGGGTGACGGTGGTGGTGACGGTGGCGATGGTGGCGAAGGTGACGGTGGTGATGACGGTGGCGATGACGGTGGTGACTATCACCGTGGATGTATTCTCTCCGGCCCGCGTCAACTCGGGAGGGCCTACAAAGCCTGGGCCTACGTAAAGCCCTCGGCCTGCGCCGGCCGCGAGGGTCCTGACCCCCACCCCCCTCCCGGCGCCGCCCCAGGTGCGCCGGCACGTTCACGGAGCGCGCGTGGAAGTCGGTGCGCGTGGGCCACCTCGTCCGCCTGCGCTGCAACGAGGCGGTGCCGGCCGACGTGCTGCTGCTGGCGTCCAGCGACGCCGCGGGGATCTGCCACCTGGAGACGGCCACGCTGGACGGGGAGAGCAGCCTGAAGCAGCGCCACGTCGCACGCGGCCTGCAGACCGCGGTAGCCGGCGGGGGGCAAGGGGCAGGGAGAGCGGTAGGGAGTGGGAGAGAGAGAGAGTGGTAGGGAGTGGGAGAGAGAGAGAGCGGTAGGGAGAAAGCGGTGTGTATATATATAGAGGGATCACCGCTGGGGGTCACCGCTGGTGGTCACCGCTGGAGGTCACCGCTGGGGGTCACCACTGAGGGTCACCGCTGAGCGCCCGCCAGTCTGAGCCGTGCCTTGACCCAGCCGGTAAAAGCCGCGGGGCGCTCGCCACTCAAGCGGCCCACGGCAGAGGGGGAGGTGCGGCGGGGATCGTCGCGTCGTGACCCCCCACAACGCGCTCTACGTGTGTGTGTGTGCGCGTGTGCGCGTGTGCGCGTGTGCGCGTGTGCGCGTGTGCGCGTGTGCGCGTGCTTTGTGCTCGCTAACAGCACTTGCTCCTACAGTCTGTTAAGGCTATATGGGGGATCTTTGTGTGCATGTGTATGTGCGTGCGTGTGTGTGTGTGTGCGTGCATGTGCGCGTGCGTGTGTGTGTGCGTGTGTGTGTGCGGGCCCGGGTAAAACTACGTGGCCGGGAGTCAGAGCCATTCCCTGTACACCTTGGGGTGCGACAGGGATGTCCTCTGGCTCCCACATTATTTAACATCTATTTCGACTACGTAGTTCGTGATGCCTTCAATAGCTGTACCGGGGGAATCTCCATTTGGTACAGATATAATGGAAGGCTGATCGATGCCCGGGTGCGGTCAAGGGATGGCTCCCTATTGCTCAACCACATTATGCATTCCGATATTCTGGTAATTGCTGCTCACTCGGAGGAGGAGTTGGAGATGCTGCTGCTGAGACTGGAGCATGCCACTAAGAGGTGGGGCCTTACCATCAGCCCCACCAAAATTAAGCACCTGTTTGGGTATTTTGTACCATCGGACACTCCACCCCCACAACTCCCAATTGGTGATGGGGCAGTTGTGGAGAGAGTGGAGAGTTTCCCATACCTGGGCAGTGTACTTATGACCGGCTCCAGTTTAACAACAACACCTGGTCTGTCGCTCCGCACTAAGCTTCAGGTCTTCTCTGCCACGGTCATTCCCTCCCTTTTCTACGCTTGCGAAACGTGGACCCCCCTAATGGAACATCTTCGCTGATTAGAAACATTTAGGCTAGCCTGCCTACGATCCATCCTGGGTTTAACCAGGCTGGATTGCGTGAGGAGCTCCCAAATCCTTGAAAGATCTGGGCAAGGTCCCATCGGTGAGCTCCTCCGGCAGGCAAGGCTGCGTTGGCTGGGTCATGTAGCCCGCATGCCCAGCCACCGCATGCCGAAACAGCTTTTGTTCGGCCGGATCGAGGGGGCTAAACGGGCGTGGCACGGGCTAGAGAAGAGATGGAGCGATGTGGTACAGGAGGACGTGGAGCTGAGTGGACTTGCCGATGACTGGTACCAGCGGTGTCAAGATCGGCCTCTGTGGAGGAGGCTCGTGAAGGATGCTACTGGGCAGTTGGAGGCAGTCGCCCTCCAACAACAATGGAGGGCCGGAGGAGCGATGCTCACAACAACGAGTGGAGCGCTGGGTGGCTAAAGCACAGCAGGTTGGCACAGTAGGGGGCACAGGTGGTGCATCAGCCAGTCATCTCAGTCATCTTAGTCAGTCGACCCATGGCACTTGGGTGTGCCCCGTGACCTCCTGCCAGCGGGCGTTCGACACTTCATGTGGCCTCAAGGTGCACATGGCCTGGCACAAGCGTCGTGGTGGCGTCACCGCCACTTAGTGGCGAATGGCTGTTGTTGTTGTGTTGTGTGTGTGGTGCGTGCGTGTGTGTGTGCATGGTGCGTGTGTGGTACGTGTGTGTGTGCGTGTGCAGGGCCGCCCGTTTGACCCGCGCTCCTTCACCAGCAGCGTGGAGTGCGAGAGCCCCACCAACGACCTGGAGCGATTCCGTGGCTTCATGTGAGACGCACACCAAAGACAAAGATCCCCCGTGTAGCCTGTAACAGACTGTAGGGGCAAGTGCTGTTCGCGAGCACCTATGAAGGCCGGCACGGCACACGAGGGGGTGGGTGGCCAGCACCACGCCCGGCCGCCTTTGTCTCCCTAGTGGCGATGTTTACATACCGCTACACCAAGTCGACCTAGGGGAGGCCCAGGACCGGTCCAGATAATCGTCACCGGTGTTGGCCGTGAGCGGGAATCAAACTCGGGTCGCCAGGTTCGTAGCGCAGCGTAGCGCTAACCGCTTCTACCGCTCCCCACACACACACACAAAGACAAAGATCCCCCGCATAGTCTTAACAGACTGTAGGGGCAAGTGCACAGACACACACAGACACACACGGCACCCTCTTCCTCCCTCCACCACCCTCCCTCTTCCTCCCCCTTCTTCCCCCTTTTCCTGATGGCAATGATGATGACGAAAATAACGATGAAGGTGGATGGAGATTATGGCGATGATGGCAATGATGATAATGGGGATGATGGGGGTGATGATAGCGATGATGATGATGATGATAGCAACGACGATAATGATGGGGATGATGATGATGATGGGGGTGATGATAGCGATGATGATGATGATGATAGCAACGACGATGATGATGGGTATGATGGGCGGCCGTGTGCAGGATCCACGCGAGTGGCCGCAAGGTTGGGCTGAACAAGGAAAACTTGCTGCTGCGGGGCTGCACGTTGCGCAACACGGAGGAGGCCGTGGGCATGGTCATCTATGCCGGTGCGCCGTCGCCGCGAGCACCGCCGCCACCACAAACGCCATCGTCACAGTCACCACCAGCGCCGTCACCGCCACCATCGGCACCACAAACGCCACCGTCACAATCACCACCAGCGCCGCCACCACCACCGTCACAGTCACCGCCACCGTCGGCACCACAAACGCCACCGTCACAGTCACCACCAGCGCCGTCACCGCCACCGTCACAGTCACCACCAGCGCCGTCACCACCACCGTCGGCACCACAAACGCCACCGTGACAATCACCACCAGCGCCGCCACCACCACCGCTACCGCCGTGTGGTGGCGTCCCCCCGTCTCGTGGTTCTTTGTGCGCGTGCCGAGCCTGCGGCCGAACCGGTTTCGCCCCGGCCGGCATCGTCCGCACAGCGTCGCCGTATCGGACGGCATCGGCGGCAGCTGGGCCGTTCGGTTTCGCCCCCGTCGGGGATCATCGGCGTGGCACAGCCGGCCACTTTTAGACGGCAGTGGCGGGGGCGACGAGGCGGCCGTGCCAGTTTCACCGTTGTTCGGAACCGTCGGCCCGGCGCGGCCGGATCTATTATTTATTTGACGCAGCGGCAGCGGGCGTTTTGAGACGTCCCCACACGGCGGGCGGCTTCGTGCTCGTGGGGCCTCGTCGGCGTGGAGTGCGGAGAGCGCCGCCCCTCTGCCCGCAGGTCACGAGACGAAGGCGATGCTGAACAACAACGGGCCGCGGTACAAGCGCAGCAAGCTGGAGCAGCGCATGAACACCGACGTCATGTGGTGTGTGCTGCTGCTCCTCGCCATGTGCCTGCTCGTCGCGTGCGGTGAGAGCCGGGGGGGTCACGGGGGGGGGTCACGGGGGGGGGGTCACGTGGGGGTCACGGGGGGGTTCGTGGGGGGGTTCGTGGGGGGGTTTGCGGGGGGGTCACGTGGGGGTCACGGGGGGGTCACGGGGGGGGGGGGGTCACGGGACCCGGCGAGAGCCACTTCAGAGACTGGGAGGAGTCGTCACCTCCATGTCCCCTCCTCCTCCTGCAACTCCCTCGCATCGCTGACATCGCCAGCTGACATCACTCGCTGACATCGCCCGCTGACATCGCCCTCTGACATCGCTCGCCCCGCTGTGTTCCGTCCCTGGCGTGCGACCGCCGCGTGGCGTGCAGGGCACAGCGTTTGGCTGGCGACCTACGGAGACGTCCGCCCCCCCTTTGACGTCCCCGACCGCCAAGGGGATCACCTGCCCCCCCCCCTCGCCGGCTTCTACATGTTCTGGACCATGATCATCGTCCTGCAGGTCCGTCCCACGCTGCCCGGCAAGCCCGGCCACGCCGTGCCCCCCGACGCCGAGCGTCGCCTCCGGCGGCGAGAAGTCCGTCTGGGGCCCGGTCGCTCGCCCGAGGTCGTGTCGGCGGTTTCGCCGAAGAATATTTTTTATTTTCATAAATCGAATCCGATCGCCGATCGGCCAACAAATAGCCGCCGCGTCAGAACGGAAGCGTCGCCGGCGAAGTTCCCCCACCACCCCCCCCCCCCCCCCCCCGAGACCGGTGCCACGACCGCGTTGCCGACCGTCCCCGCGGCCACGCGAGCCGGAGAGCGGCGCCGGCGAGCGGCCCGGCGCCGCTCTCCCCTTCGTTAGCCGGGCGGCCGATGGGGAGCCTCGGCCGAAGCGGCTCGCCACGTCGCGGCCGTCCCGCCGCTCCCACCGCTGATCGGGACCACGCGGAGTTGGGGGAGGGTGAGGGGAGGGTGAGGGGAGGGTGAGGGGAGGGTGAGGGGAGGGTGAGGGGAGGGTGAGGGGAGGGTGAGGGGAGGGTGAGGGGAGGGTGAGGGGAGGGTGAGGGGAGGGGAGGGAGGGGAGGGAGGGGGAGGGAGGGGGGGGGGAGGGAGGGGGAGGAGTCATCTCGGTGGCTTTCTCTGACACCGCACAGCATCCACTCGGCCTCCCCGTTCAAATCCACCGGTTGATCCCCCCCTCCCCCCGCCGCCCGCAGGTGATGATCCCGATCTCGCTGTACGTGTCCATGGAGATCGTGAAGCTGGGCCAGGTTTACTTCATCCACCGCGACGTGGCGCTGTACGACGAGCGCAGCGACTCGCGGCTGCAGTGCCGCGCGTTCAACATCACCGAGGACCTGGGCCAGGTGCAGCACCTGTTCACCGACAAGACCGGCACGCTCACCGACAACAAGATGGTGTTCCGGCGCTGCGCCGTCGCCGGCACCGAGTACCCGCACCGGGAGAACGGTGAGCGGCGGCAGCGGAGTGGGGGAGCGGCGGCGCGGCGGTTAGCGCCACGCCGCTCGCGGCCAGCACCGGTGAGGATTATCTGAATGGATAACCCGGTGCGGTGTGTGGTAAACGTCGCCACTGGGGAGACAAAGGCGGCCTGGCGTGGTGCTGGCCACCCACCCCCTGGTGTGCCGTGTTGGCTTTCACAGGTGCTGCTCGCTAACAGCACTTGCCCCTGCGGTCTGTTAAAGGCTACACGGGGGATCTTTGTCTTTGGTCCCCGCTCCCCGTGTAGCCCACGCGGCGCCGTGAGCGAGCGGCGGCACCGCGACGCGCGAAGGCGGCCGGGCGCTCCGCACCGCGGCCGGCCGCCTTCGTCTCCCCAGCGGCGACGTTTACCGCGCCCGGCGCTCAGCCGCACCCCCCTGCTCTCGCTCGCAGCTCTGCGGATCGCCACGCGCCACGACTCCGACTCCTCCGACTCGGAGGAGGCGGAGGAGCGCGGGGACGGCGGCGGTGCCGACGGCACGGCGCCGGGCGCCGGGCAGCGCGTGCGCCGGACTCGCAGCTCCCGACTGGCGCCGGCGTCGTCGTCCAGCCTCACCCGGCACGAGCGGTCGACGCACGCGGCGTTCAGCAGCCCGCTGGTGAGCGTGGGCGGGCGTGGACGGGCGTGGACGGGCGATTGCGTACAGCAGCCAGCTCGTGAGCCCGGCGACCCGAGTTCGTTTCCCGCCCACGACCGACGTCGCCGGCCCTAAAACAGCACTTGCCCCGGCAGTCCGTCAAGGCTACAGGGGGGGATGTTTACTTTTGTCTTTGTGCATCCGCCTCTCTCCCCCCCCCCCCCCGTGCGGCTCTCAGGAGAAGGAGGTGACCCCTGACCCGCGGCTGCTGGCGAGGGTCGAGTGCGGCGTGGCGGCCGTCGTCTCGGCGGCGCCCGCGGCGGCGCCGGAGGGGGCGGGGGCCGCCGCCGCCCCTCCCCCGGAGGGCGGCGACGCCGCCGTCGACTTCTTCATCACGCTGGCGCTGTGCAACACCGTGCTGGTGTCGTCTCGCGGCGGCCCACCCCGCGAGGTGAGAGTACCCCCACCGTCGCCGGGCTCGCGCCTTGAACTTCTTTGGCACCGTACTTAGCCGGCGCGGGGGAAGGGACTCCAAACGGCGAGCGGCGCGCCGGACTCCTGACCCGCCGCTCTCGCGGTTCGATTCCATCCCCCACGGCTCCTGCGGCCGAAACGGCGTGGGGGCGCGTCGCTTAAATTCCACCGGATTCGGTTTCGCCGGTTTGCCGCTTCTGGCGACGGTCGCCGTCCACCGGTGCCGAACGTCACCCCGCGCCTTCCCGCAGGCCGGCGTCGCCACCGAGCAGCGGTTTTCGCTGCGGAAGATCGAGGTGCTGCTCAGGAAGCTCAAGAAGCGGGAGGGCGGCTCGTCCGGAGCGGACTCCGCCCAGGGTCAGAGTTCAACTCCGCCGGCACTTGCCGGGGAGGCCGCTCCGGAAGGAGGCCTTGACGCGGACCGCGGCAACGCAAACGCCGCGCCGGCCGCGCCCGAGCGGCGCTCTCCCACGCGGGAAGCCGCCGCCGCGGAACGCTCCGGGCGCGCCGCCCGGCCCGAACAAGGCGGCGACGAAACCGCGGCGACCGCCGATTCGGAGACGGCGGCGGCGCGACCGGGCGGCGGCGCGGCCCGGACCGCGAAATCCGGAGAGCCGCGGTCCGCGGACGACGACGGCGACGACGGCGACGACGGCGGAGACGACGACGCGACGGACCTGGAGTACCGGGCGGAGAGCCCTGACGAGGCGGCGCTGGTGTACGCGGCGCGAGCCTACGGCTTCACCCTCGTGGCGCGCCGCCCCAGGAGCGCCACGCTGCTGCTCACGCGGTCGCCGGCGGGGGGAGGTAGGCCGCGATTGAATGCCTCGCCGGCCTCGTGGATCCACGGGCCTAGTGGGCCCTGCGGCCTAGTGGGCCCAGGCTTAGGGTTGTGGAATGCCCCCGGTAGGCCCAGGGTCGACCTCTTGGTGAGGAGGTTACTGCTGCTGGTAAAAGTTGCTGTTGGTTGCATGATGACAGTAGTAATAATACAATGACACTCCGCTCGCAAACAGTCTGCATGCAGGGCTTGTGTTGATTGTCCGCGCTCGCTATCCGAGTAGCCACACCCTTTGACGACGACGACGATATTTCCTTCCTTTGCTCAGATGCGGAAACCCTCGCGGGAGGTGGAGTTGGAGGAGGTGGAGTTGGAGGAGGTGAAGTTGGAGGAGGTGGAGTTGGAGGAGTTGGAGGAGGTGGAGTTGGAGCAGGAGGGGGGGGATGTACGCTGACCTTCGAGGTGCTGCACGTGCTCGGCTTCGACTCGCTGCGCAAGCGCATGTCGGTGGTGGTGCGGCACCCCCTCACCGGGGCCGTGGCGCTCTACGCCAAGGGCGCCGACTCGGCCATCCTGCCCACGCTGCGGCCCCTGTCCCGTGCGTGCCGCCCCCACCACGGTCACCGTCGCCGCCCCCACCACGGTCACCATCGCCACCCCCACCACGGTCACCATCGCCACCCCCACCACGGTCACCATTCCCACCTCCACCACGGTCACCGTCGCCCCCCGCACCACGGTCACCATCGCCACCCCCACCACGGTCACCATCGCCACCCCCACCACGGTCACCATCGCCACCCCCACCACGGTCACCATTCCCACCTCCACCACGGTCACCGTCGCCCCCCACACCACGGTCACCATCGCCGCCGCCGCTTCATCGCCACCCACCTGAGTCTAAACCCCCCCCCCCCCTTTTGCCCCAAGCCTCGCCAAGTCCTCTTTTTGAGGAGGGTCCTGCCGAGTTTTTTCGCAGGGCGGGCGATGGTTGGCGGCGTGCGTTCCCAGTTGAGCAAAATTGCGGTGGAACCATTTGGAACTTTTGCGAAGGGAGTCGGGGGGGGGGGGGGGGGGGTCGTGACGCACGACCGGCCCCCCCGACTCCCTTCGCGAACGACGTCACCGGACGCCGTGGACGCCGCGCTGCGAGCGTAGCGGCCGGGGCGCGGCGTTAGACGGTGAACACCGCGAGCGTAGCGTTAGACGGTGAACGCCGCGCCGTATTAACCAGGGGGTGAACCCTGCCGGATTAGAACCGCGAAGCTCTGCCGACGCGCTCCCGCCCGGGCCCCACCCCCCGCCGCCACCGCCCCAGATGTTGACCGACTGCTGTTGGATATTGTCGAACGTTGTGTGAACGTTGCTGTTTCAGGCGACTCGAGGCTGGACAAGCAGCAGCAGAAGATCCGAGAGAAGACGGAGTTCTACCTCAACTCGTACGCCCGCGACGGCCTGAGGACCCTGTGCATCGCCAAGAGGGTACGGCCCTCACAGCACCGCGGCCACCGCCACCACGGCCACCACCACGGCCACCACAACCACCACTCGCACGGTCACAATCACCACGACAGCCACCACCGTCGTCGCGGCAGTGCAACGTGGAGGTGCCCCGCTGAGTGCCAGTGCGTGTGTGTGTCCGTGTGTGTGTGTGTGTCCGTGTGTGTGTGTGTCCGTGTACGTGTGTGTGCCCGTGTGTGTGTATCCGTGTGTGTGTGTATCCGTGTGTGTGTGTATCCGTGTGTGTGTGTATCCGTGTGTGTGTGTATCCGTGTGTGTGTGTATCCGTGTGTGTGTGTATCCGTGTATGTGCGCGTGCGTGTCCATGAGTGTGCGCTCGTGATGGTTGTATTTATTTTTGTTGTGTACGCGACCTGACCCCACGACCACAACACCGCCCGCCCGTTCAACTCACGCAGCCCCCCCCCCGCCCCGCCCACCCCCCCGTCCAGGCGCTGAGCGAGGAGGCGTACGCCGAGTGGCGGAGCGGCCACATGGAGGCCGAGGCGGCCATCGAGAGCCGCGAGCTGCTGCTGCAGCAGTCGGCGCTGAGGATCGAGACGGAGCTGGAGCTGCTGGGTCCGTGCCGCACGCCAACGGCGCTTGCCCCCGCAGTCCGTTACGGACCGTCGGGGGGGGTCTCTGCCTTTGGGTCCTGACCCCGACTCGAACTCTAACCCCCGACTCTAAGCGCCACCCTGATCCCGTTCCCGCTCCCCGTGACCCGAACCGAGACCCTGACTGCGACCCCGCGTCCCCGCAGGAGCGACGGGCGTGGAGGACCGTCTGCAGGAGGGCGTGCCGGACACGGTGTCGGCGCTGCGTGCCGCCGGGCTGCACGTGTGGGTGCTCACGGGCGACAAGCGCGAGACGGCGGTGAACGTGGCGACGGCGTGCCGCCTCGTGTGGCCCGGCGACGTCGTCTGCACCGTCAACGCCACATCCACGGTGAGAGGCGGAATGGAGACGTAGGAAGCGGAGGGAGGGGGAGGGAGGGAGCCGTGCTGGTGGCGGTGGCACTGGTGGTGTTGTTGCTGCAGGTGGTGGTGTTGTTGCTGGAGGTGGTGGTGGTGGTGTTGTTGTTGCTGGAGGTGGTGGTGCTGGAGGTGGTGGTGCTGGAGGTGCTTGTGGCACTGGTGTTGTTGGTGTTGTTGATGTTGTTGATGTTGGTGGTGGTGCTGGAGATGGTGCTGAAGCTATTGCCCCCCCCCCCACCTCGCTCATCCCCCCCACCCTCCCGTGCATCCCCCCCATCTCTCCCTGTCTGCGCGTGCTCAGAGCGGCTGTGCCGAGCAGATCGAGCGGCTGCTCCGGAACGTGCCGGAGGCCACCACCGCCGGTCCGTAGCTCCGCCCCAGCGCGCTCAGCACGCCTGGCTGGACGCCTGTCCTCTAGTACCGAGTCGCGTAGCCGCGCACGATGGACAGGCGCTTCACAGGAATGATCCATGAGGGGTCCATCCATACTCTTTGGTTCTTTCGGTAAAGTCACGTAGTTAGAAATAAAATAAAACAAATCACGACGTTTCGATTGCAACACAAGCAATCATCATCAGGTGGGAAAACCACAGCAAGAAAATAGTACAGTTTTTTTTGGGTTAGATCACGTAAATATATAAATGTGTCATTAAACCCGCCACTACCCGACACAGCCAACTAGTAAGGGTTGTCACGTAAACAGAACGTGACAGTTCGTCACTAGTACAGCACTAGTGTGTAGTGTATAGTAGTGTAGTGTATAGTAGTGTATTGTGTAGTAGTGTATACTGTAGTATACTAGTACAGCACACCGGTGTGTTGGAGAGCCAAGCCACAACATTTACAATCCGAGTACGACGTTTTGCCAGTAATTACAACCAGCATCAGAAATCCTCCTCTGTTTCGTTCTTGAACAGAGGGATATATTTGATGTCGTCACTTGTGAGCCCTTCACGTGCCAAGGCCAGAGGGGGATTAACAAGAGCAATGAATCCATAATAATTGCTCTTGTGGCAAATGCTCTGTTGGTCAGACAGGACGAATGATCTAAAATAGCATCAGATACAGCTGTCGGCAGTGGCAGAACCCACGTGCCAACAATGACACTCAGTTGATTTTGATAATGTTGAAGTTCTATGCAAAACTAGTTACAACTGGCCAAGACTAATTCGATGAGCTATCGGATGTTTACACACTGCATCAAGTACTCATTTAAGGCTGAGTCGACCTAGGGGATGCCTTAATACCGCTTCAGATAATCGTCACTTGTGTTGGTGGCCCGGCACACTAACCGCTACACCACCGCTCCATTGCTCACGCACACAACAACAACAACAACCGTCATTCGCCACTCATTACGATATGCTAAGGGATGGTGGCATTTGTACGCAGACTGATTTTTGTGACATTAAAACAGTCTGGACCACTGGATAGGTTCCGCAGGTTTGGAAGGAATCCCTGGTGGTCCCCCTCTTTAACAAGGGGGACCGCACGGACTGTAACAACTACAGGGGCATCTCACTCCTCAGTGTGCCGGGAAAGGTCCTGGCAAGGATTATTCAACATCGCCTTGCCAGGCACGCTGAGGAGAGGCTTGCGGAGCCCCAATGTGGTTTCGGGCCAGGGCGGTCCTGCACAGATGCCATGTTTTCTGTCCGTCTGCTACAGCAGAGGTGTAGGGAATTCACGCACACACGTACTTATGAATGTTGAACTTCTTTTGCACTGTACGTAGCCAACCGTGCTAATCACACACACTCACACACGCACTCACACACGCACTCACACACGCACTCACACACGCACTCACACACACACTCACCCGTCTCCGAACACCAACCTCCAATTCCCATCCCACCAGACGGAGGCGTCTCCCGCACCACCGCCCCGGTTGAAGCGTCGTCGGACTTTCACCACTACCAGCAGCAGGGCCGCCGGTGCTGCCTGGTGGTGGAGGGCCCGGCGCTGGCGCTGGTGATGGATGACGCGGCGCTGCAGGGCCGCTTCCTGGCGGCGGCGAGCGCCAGCGCCGTGGTGATCTGCTGCCGTGCCACGCCGCTGCAGAAGGGCCAGATCGTGCAGCTGGTGCGCGACCGGCTGCACGTGCGCACGCTCGCCATCGGTGAGCCCCCCCCCCCCCTTCATCGGTGTCGTCGGGGTCTTCGTCAAGGTCGTCGTCAAGGTCGTCGTCATCATCGGGCATTGTCAGGGTCGTCATCGTCAAGAGTCATCGACGCTCCGTCTCTGCGGTGGACATCCCCCCGGGAAGAGCCCATCCGGTGGCGGGCACGGGGCACGGGTGCGGGCACGGGCACGGGTACGGGTAAGCGTACGCGTGCTTCCGCGCCAACGAGAGTAACGTCACCCTCTCTCCCGCAGGCGACGGAGCAAACGACGTGAGCATGATCCAGGTGGCCGACGTGGGGATCGGCATCTCGGGGCAGGAGGGGATGCAGGTGACCCCCACCGCCCCGCCGCACTTGCACGGCCGCGGCTGCCACCACCGCCAACCGTCACCGCCGCCTCCACCACCTCCACCACCATCACCATGCACCACCACGCACCACCACCATGCACCACCACCATCACCATGCACCACCACCGCGTCCCAACAGAGCCGGCCCCCACTCCACGCCCCCCGGTGGGTTGACTTGCGGCGGCCGAGTTGCACGGGACCACAGTTGGCGACAGCTGCTTCGGGGTGTTTCCGTGCGAGGGACGGGGGGCGCCACGACCGCCTCGCCTGACGACGCTCATCAAAGGGTGTTGCTGATTGGCTGAGGTCCGCTGCTGAAGCCGCTTGGGAGCTCTCCGATTGGCCGAAATTGGCGGCCGCGCGATATCGTAAGATGCACGTCGTTGATCGCAAATGTATCGTTAAAATAGAAACAATGGGACCCTATGGGAGGCAGATTGTTAATCGATGGGACCACTGTACAAGCGTCAGGGCCGGGATCAAACCCACGACCTCCTGCATACCAGGCGAGGTAGTCAACATCTCCGTCGTCATCCCCCGCCCCCCCCGCGCAGGCCGTGATGTCGAGTGACTTTGCCATCGCGCGCTTCTCCCACCTGCGGCGGCTGCTGCTGGTGCACGGCCACTGGTGCTACACACGGCTCGCCAACATGGTGCTCTACTTCTTCTACAAGAACGCCGTACGCCTCGCAACACCCACATGGACAATTTACACACCCACTCACACACCCACTCACACACTAACACGCCCACTCGCACACTAGCACACCCACTCGCACACTAACACACACACTCACACACCCACTCGCACACTAACACCCATTCGCACACTAGCACACCCACTCACACACTAACACACCCACTCACACACCCACTCACACACTAACACAACAACAACCGCCATTCGCCACTAAGTGGCGGTGACGTCACCACGACGCTTGTGCCAGGTCATGTGCACCTTGAGGCCACGTGAAGTGTCGAACGCCCGCTGGCAGGAGATCACGGGGCAGACCCAGGTGCCGCGGGTCGACTGATTGAGATGACTGAGATGACTGAGATGACTGGCTGATGCACCACCTGTGCCCCCTACTGTGCCAACCTGCTGTGCCAACCTGCTGTGCCCTAACCACCCGGCTCTCCGCTCGTTGTTGTGAGCGTCGCTCCTCCACCCTCCGTTGTTGTTGGAGGGCGACTATCTCCAACTGCCCAGTAGCGTCCTTCACGAGCCTCCTCCACAGAGGCCGATCTTGACACCGCTGGTACCAGTCATCGGCAAGTCCACTCAGCTCCACGTCCTCCTGTACCACATCACTCCATCTCTTCTCTAGCCGGTGCCGCGCCCGTTTAGCCCCCTCGATCCGGCCAAACAAAAGCTGTTTCGGCATGCGGTGGCTGGGCATGCGGGCTACATGACCCAGCCAACGCAGCCTTGCCTGCCGGAGGAACTCACCGATGGGACCCTGCCCAGATCTTTCAAGAATTTGTGAGCTCCTCACACAATCCAGTCTGGTTAAACCCAGGATGGATCGTAGGCAGGCCAGCATAAATGTTTCTAACCGGCGAAGATGTTCCATTAGGGGGGTCCACGTTTCGCAAGAGTAGAGAAGGGAGGCCGAGAAGACCTGAAGCTTAGTGCGGAGCGACAGACCAGGTAGCTTCCACACAGCGTTACGCAACCGATGAAAAGATATTGCTGCTCGACTGATTCGGAGTGAGACCTCTGCTGTTAAACTGGAGCCGGTCATAAGCACACTTCCCAGGTATGGGAAACTCTCCACTCTCTCGACAACTGCCCCATCACCGATTGGGAGTTGTGGGGGTGGAGTGTCCGATGGCACAAAATACCCAGGCAGGTGCTTAGTTTTGGTGGGACTGATGGTAAGGCCCCATCTCTTAGTGGCATGCTCCAGTCTCAGCAGCAGCGTCTCCAACTCCTCCTCTGAATGAGCAGCTAGTACCAAATAATCGGCATACATAACGTGGTTGAGCAATAGGGAGCCATCCCTTGACCGCACCCGGGCATCGATCAGCCTCCCATTATATCTGTACCATATGGAGATTCCCCCGGTACAGCTATTAAAGGCTTCACGAACTACGTGGTCGAAATAGATGTTAAATAATGTGGGAGCCAGAGGACATCCCTGTCGCACCCCAAGGTGTACAGGGAATGGCTCTGACTCCCGGCCACGTAGTTTTACCCGGGCCTGCTCACCATCATGAAGGTCCTTCATGATTGTGAGCAGAGGGCAGGTACTCCAAAAGCACGAAGAACAACCCAGAGCCCAGGCCTACTGATGGTATCATAGGCCTTGACCAAGTCAATAAAGCAGAGATGTAGGTCTTGCTGGAATTCCCTACACCTCTGCTGTAGCAGACGGACAGAAAATATGGCATTTGTGCAGGACCGCCCTTTCCTGAAACCGCATTAGGGCTCCGCAAGCCCTTCCTCAGCGTGCCTGGCAAGGCGATGGTGAATAATCCTTGCCAGGACCTTTCCCGGCACACTGAGGAGTGAGATGCCCCTTGTAGTTGTTAGTCTGTGCGGTCCCCCTTCTTAAAGAGGGGGACCACCAGGACATCCTTCCAATCTTGCGGAACCCGTCCAGTGGTCCAGACTGTTGTTATGATGTCATATAGGGCAGTCTGTGCACAAACGCCACCCTCCCTCAGCATTTCGCTTGGGAGATCATCTCTGCCCGGTGCCTTTCCTGGTCTCAGACTCTGGATCGCCTTCAGTACTTCCTCAACAGATGTCACTTCAGCCAGCCACTCACAAGGGGTGACTTCTTCCAATATTTGAGGCACCGCAGCCTCAGCAGGGTCATCCTCACTTTGTGCCACGATGTTTTCCTGGCTGAGGGATTTTCCCTCCCCCAGGATCTCACAGAAATGCTCAGCAAATCTGCAAACCTGTTCCTGAGGGTCGGAGATTGGATCACCGTTTTTCCCCTAATGATGGCAATAGGTGTGGCGCTGCAGGTTACTTTTTTGATGGAGTTAAATAGAGATTTGTGATCGCGGGCCACTGAGGCAGACTCCATCTCCTCAGCAACCCGCGACCACCACCCATCCTTGCAGCGCCTCACGGCTCTCCGAACCTCCGAGCGAAGGCTGCGGTAAGCCTCCTCATTCTTTGACGTGGGATTCTATAGCCGATGACAGTGGGCCTGTCGCTTTTTCTCAACTATCCTGAACACCTCCTCTGTCAGCCAGGGTCTCTGGGGAGGTCTGGACTGCGTACCCAAAGCAGCCAATGCAGCTGCATGAGTGACAGTCCTAAACCTCACCCATTTACCCTCGACATCAGGAGTGGGTGACGATGCCAACCCCAGCCGCAGGCGATGATGAAATTCTCGCTTGCAACTTTCATCAGATAACTGAGACCAGGCCATTTTAGGTTGGAATGGGGTCCTGGGTGTACACCCACCACCGGAGCGGAAGAATGGCATGCGCATCTTACAGATGACAAGTCGATGGTCAGAGGGCAGATCAGCTCCACAGTAGGTCCTGGTGTCAAGGACATGGGCTCGCATCCGCTGGTCCGTCACTATGTAGTCCAGCAGATGTTCTTGCTTGGACCCGGCATGCATCCATGATGTTGTGTGAATGCGCCGATGCCGGAACAGCGTGTTGGTAATTACAAGCCCATGGGCTGCACAAAAATCTAGCAGCATCCTACCGTTGTTATTGAGCTGATCTGGCCCATGCCCTCCAATCACTCCAGACCAGGTGCCAGCATCATGACCAACTCGGGCATTGAAGTCACCCAAAAAGATGACTCTATCCCGAGGGGCCATTTTAGCCAGCACCTGTGACAGGAGGCCATAGAAAGCACACACCCACTCACACACTAACACACACACTCACACACACACTAACACACCCACTCACACACTAACACACCCACTCACACACTAACACACCCACTCACCAACCCACCCAGCAGCCCACAGAATCAGAATCTGTATTTATACTTGAGGAGTCTGATGCGCTATGAAGCTCTTTTCACAGATGTCGAGTAGGGGGCCATCCATTGAGTACATCCGCAACAATCTCCCTGTACGCACGTGGACTTTTACACCCCCCCCCCCCCGCCTGCGTATGTACGCCTGACGCACCCCCCCCCAATCCTATAGAACGGTCGATACTTAATCCACGCAGAAACGATCAATGATGAATAATATTAACGTGTTTAAGAAAATAGATAGTCCACCGTCCGACGATCTAACTAATTTTAAGGCCAATGTAGACAAATTATTATCGAGGCTTCACCCCCCCCCCCTCCGTTTCCTAAGCGTACATTGTCAGTAGACCCCCCCATACACAAGCGAACGCATTTGGGTTACCCCCCCCCCCCCCTCCATGCGTACGTACGCAGTGGATGGCCCCTAGGCACACCCACCCATACAAACCCACCCACCATCCTACCCACCCACACTAACCCACCCACCAATCCTCCATCCCACCCATCAGCCCACCCCCCGTTACTCCGCTTGCCAGTGAGGAAGACGCGGGGGGGGGGGGGGAGACACCCCATCATTATTTATTTATCTTAAAAATCCTTTCTCCCCCCCCCACCGCCCCACCAGGCGTTTGTGTTTCTCCTCTTCTGGTACCAGTTTGTGTGCGGCTTCTCCGGCAACTCCATGATGGACCAGTGGCAGCTGGTCCTCTTCAACCTGCTCTTCACGTCGGCGCCGCCGCTGGTGGCGGGCCTGCTGGACCGCGACGTGCCGGCAGCCGCGCTGCTCGCCCGGCCGCACCTCTACCGCGCCGGCCAGGACTCGGCGGTGCGCCCCCCCCACCCCTCCCTCCCACTCCCCACCGGGGACCTCGCCGCCATCACCACCACCACCACGGCGGCTGTGCCGGGCGCCGCCACCGCCGCCGCGCTGGGAATTCGAAACGCCCGGCTCCTGGGATGGCACCGATGACCTGGCGCTGCGTCCTGGGCTCTGAGTGCCTCTCTCTCTGTCCCTCTCTCTCTAGGGGGGTTCGCAGTGGCCGTGACGGAGAGACGGTGAGATGCGGACTGCTGGGTTGGTGCCTGGGCTCTGGGTGCCTCTCTCTCTGTCCCTCTCTCTCTGTCTCTAGGGGGGTTCGCAGTGGCCGTGACGGAGAGACGGTGAGATGCGGACTGCTGGGTTGGTGCCCTGGGCTCTGGGTGCCTCTCTCTCTGTCCCTCTCTCTCTGTCTCTAGGGGGGTTCGCAGTGGCCGTGACGGAGAGACGGTGAGATGCGGACTGCTGGGTTGGTGCCTGGGCTCTGAGTGCCTCTCTCTCTGTCTCTCTAGGGGGGTTCGCAGTGGCCGTGACGGAGAGACGGTGAGATGCGGACTGCTGGGTTGGTGCCCTGGGCTCTAGGTGCCTCTCTCTCTGTCTCTCTAGGGGGGTTCGCAGTGGCCGTGACGGAAAGATGGTGAGATGCGGACTGCTGGGTTGGTGCCCTGGGCTCTGGGTGCCTCTCTCTCTGTCTCTCTATGGGGGTTCGCAGTGGCCGTGACGGAGAGACGGTGAGATGTGGACTGCTGGGTTGGTGCCTGGGCTCTGAGTGCCTCTCTCTCTGTCTCTAGGGGGGTTCGCAGTGGCCGTGACGGAGAGACGGTGAGATGCGGACTGCTGGGTTGGTGCCTGGGCTCTGGGTGCCTCTCTCTCTCTCGGGAGTTTCATGATGGCCGTGTCGAGGACACTGAACCGGCACTGCTGAGGTTCTGAGTTCAAGCCCGAGGCCTGCGTGTCTCTGTTAATGTAGACATGGGAGCTCATTCTGGCCATGTTGGAGTCGGTGAGCCCGCACGGTTGAGGTTTAGGGTTTGACTCCTGGGCCGTGTCCGTAACGCCGAGTGGCGGCGCAGCGGTTAGCACACCGTGCTGCAAGCCCGTCGACCCGAGTTGGTCACCCGGGCTTGGCCAACGTCGGTGGCAAGTGACTCTGCCTGCGTCGAGTGCCTGGACGCATCGGCACTGAGGAGACAAAGGCGGCCGGGCGTGGCTTTGATCACCCACCTCCTTTGTAGGAGTACCGTGGTGGCGAGATGTTGACTACCTCGCCTGGTGTACAGGAGGTCGTGGGTTCCATCACGACCTTGGTGCCTGCTGCTGTATATTTGGAGTTTGCGTGTCTCTCTCCGCGTGGATTTCTCTCCGAGTCCTCCGGTTTTTTCCCCTCCACATTTAGAATCGACATCGCGCGTTCACAGTCTTTGGCTGCTGCTTGACATTTCCACACGATGATGATGATCCACCACGTTCAGCTATCAATTAGGTGGATTCTGACAAAAGAGCTATACAGCTCAGAGTGGGCCTTACCTGGTAGAATAATAATAATTGTTTAGTTTATAGTTTAGTCGTGTGAGCAGTGCTGGTTTGCGCTGGCTCAGAGTAAATAACTCTCGAACCCAGCGCACCGCAGCCACATTACCTCTGACCGTGGTCGTGGCTACTCGGTCGCATTCCTACTCCGGTTTACCGGCGACCCGGACAAATATCGTCGGTGATGAACGAAGCCCTGCCCACGAGCTCCGTGGGAGCTTGGGCAACGCGTTCCAGTTGACGTGGTTCGGTTTGTTGAAGGTGCGGCCGCGTGCGTCGGGCTCCACGGAGAAGCTCTGTGTCTGTGGCTCGCTGTGCCCGCAGGAGTACTCGCCACGCTTGTTCTGGCTCACCATGCTGGACGCCGCCTACCAGAGCGCCGTCTGCTTCCTGCTGCCCTACTACGTGCGTGCACACACGGGGGCGGGGCTGGTCGTGGTGGTGGTGGTGGTGTTTGTGGTGGCGGTGGTGGTGGTGATGGTCGTGGTGGTGACGGTGGTGTTTGTGGTGGTGGTGATGGTGGTGATGATGGTGTCTATGGTGGTGATAATGGTGTCTATGGTGGTGGTAGTGTTGGTGTCTGTGGTGGTGGTGGTGTCTATGGTGGTGTTGGTGTCTATGGTGATGGTGGTATTGGCGGGGGTGGTGATAATGGTGTCTGGTGGTGGTATTGGTAATGGTGGTGGTGTTGGTCACGGTGGGGTGATTTTGACATTGGTGTTGTTGACGGTGTTGTTGTTGACGGTGTTGACTGTTATTGTTGATGGTGTTATTGTTGACAGTGTTTACGGTGTTGATGGTGTTGTTGTTGACGGTGTTGTTGTTGACGGTGTTGACCCTGTTGACGCTGTTGTTGTTGACGGTGTTGACGCTGTTGTTGTTGACGGTGTTGACGCTGTTGTTGACGGTGCTGTTGTTGACTGTGTTGTTGTTGACTGTTTTTACGGTGTTGTTGTTGTTGACGGTGCTATTGTTGACGGTGTTGACTGTTGTTGACGGCGTTGACGGTGTTGTTGTTGACGGTGTGTCTGTGTGCGGTGCAGGCGTACGCCGACTCTGATGCAGGGGTGTTCACGTGGGGCACCCCCATCACCACCATCGCCCTCTTCACCATCCTCGGACACCTCGCAATCGAGACCAAGACATGGGTGCTGCTCCTCACCACCTCCTCACCACCACCGCTCCTCACCACCTCACCACCGCTCCTCACCCTCTCACCTGTGCAGCGCAGAGTGGCGCACGACCCTCAACGCTGAGCCATCGTATCATTTGTAACTGTGCACAACACATCTCTCTTTCTCTCGCTCCCATCTCTCTCTCTCTCCCATGTCTCCCCTCTCTCTGTCTCCTCTCTCCCATCTCACTTTCTCTCTCGTCTCTCTCTCTCTGTCTCCTCTATCATCTCTCTATCTCACTCCCATCTCTTTCTCTCTCGTCTCTCTTTCTCTCTGCCTCCTCTCTCTCTCTCGTCTCTCTCCTTTCTCTTTCTCTCTCTCCCATCTCTCTTTCTCTCTCGTCTCTCTCTATCGTCGCTCTATCGTCTCTCTATCTCGTCTCTCTATCTCTCATCTCTCCTCTCTCTATATCTCTCTTTCTCTCTCCCATCTCTCTATATCTCTCTTTCTCTCTCCCATCTCTTTTTTTCTCTCTTTCTCTCTCTCTCTCTCGTCTCTCTCCGTCTCCTCTCGTCTCTCTCTCTCCTGTCTCCCATTGCCCGCGCCCCTGCCCGCCCCAGACGGTGTTCCACTGGCTGGTGACGCTGGGCAGCGTGCTGCTCTACGCCGGCTTCTCGCTGGCGTGCGGCGCTCTGTGCGTGCGCTGCAGCCCCCCCGCCAACCCGCTGGGCATCGCGCAGCGCACGCTGCTGGAGCCGCGAGCCCACCTGGTGGCAATCATCACGCCCGTCACAGCGCTGCTGCCCAGGTGGGGGAGGGGGCGGACAACGGCGTCGGTGACGATGGCGGCGTCGGCGACGGTGACGATGGCGGCGTCGGTGACGGCGGCGGCGTCGGTGACGATGGCGGAGTCGGTGACGACCGCGTCTCCCCCCCCGCCCCCCCACGGCAGGTTCCTGTACCGCGCCCTGCAGGGGACCGTCTTCCCGACGCCGGCCCAGCTGGCCCGTCAGCAGCGCCCCCCCGGCCTGGCGGCTCGTCTCCCCGACGACTCCCAGCGCAGCACCGCGTCGGAGACGCCGCTCCTGGCGCCCGACGGGCCCCGGGAAGCGCCGTCCGTCGAGCTCGAGCGTTCGCTCTCCTCCTCCGAGGTCACCGTCAGCGGCACGGCGGACGGGCGGAGCTCGCGGAACAGCATCATCTGACGAGCGCGGTTCTATTTTTATTTTATTTTCTTTTTCTTCCCGAACAAAGTTCACGCCGGTCGCCTGTCGGCGTCCCGGGAGATTCGTTCGGGGGGAAAAAAAACTCTGGCAGCGCGGCAGCAACCCCCCCAACCCCCCCCGCCCCATCCCCCAACCCCCCCCCCCCGTCCCCTTCTTCCGTAGTTGAGCGGTGGCCGTAGAAGCGGACGTCGAGGAGCTACGGCTGAGATCCCCCCTCCCCCACACGCATGGTGGGTGCGGTGGAGTGACGCGCCACGCTCCGCTCGCTCGGCCGTAGCGCCGGAATCCGTCGTGTGATGGTCAAACCGGCGCGGCTTTTAATCCCCTCTGAGCTGGAATTTAACCAAATCAAGCGCAGCACCGAATTTCATGACAGGGCTGAGATAACGTGCATGACTGCATTGAGAACTCGGTTCACGCGAGTCTGTGGGTCTCTGTGTGAGTCTGTGGGTCTCTGTGTGAGTCTGTGGGTCTCTGTGTGAGTCTGTGGGTCTCTGTGTGAGTCTGTGGGTCTCTGTGTGAGTCTGTGGGTCTCTGTGTGAGTCTGTGGGTCTCTGTGTGAGTCTGTGGGTCTCTGTGTGAGTCTGTGGGTCTCTGTGTGAGTCTGTGGGTCTCTGTGTGAGTCTGTGGGTCTCTGTGTGAGTCTGTGGGTCTCTGTGTGAGTCTGTGGGTCTCTGGGCGAGTCTGTGGGTCTCTGGGTGAGTCCTTCTGAGTTTGCCACAAGCGCGACCGGGAATTCTCCGCGTGCTGGATGACGCTCGGCCCGTGGGTCGTCGCGAGGGCCCTGTCGGTCCCCCCCACTGCCCCCTGACCGGCACTCTACAAGCCGCCGAGCCCCGGTTTGAGCATCGCAGAAAAAATGCCGAATCTTGCCGCCGCCTCCTCCTCCTCGTCCCCTCCCGCGTGACGCCGCCGCCGCCGCACTCGGACCGTGGCCCTGGTGGGTCGCGTGTCGCGGCCGGGTTAATCGAGCGTGTCTCCTGTGCACTTTTTCGGACGTTGGTGTGGCGCCCCCCTCTGTCCCCGTCGCGAATGTTTTGGGACCAAACCTCTGCCGCCACCCCCGCGGAGGGAGAGAGAGGAAGCTATGATGATGATGATGACGACGACGAGGACGATGAAGACGATGATGACAAAGACGATGCCGACGATGACAACAAAACTACTAATTATGATCGCCAAAAGAGGAAGGGGTCGGAGGACCGAGTCGAAACATTCCAGAAAGATGTGTATATTTTTAAAACACTCCACATCGGCGACAGGACGTCGTGTGCGTCGTCGGATTCGGAGTTCCGGACACGCGTGCAGTTTTGTTTAAGAGGCGTTTTTTTAAAGCGGTGCCGCTGGCAACGACGGATCGTCAAGTTGAATCTGGCCAATGAAGTCTGAAAGCTTTCAATGCCACGCTTGTTGGCGAACGTTCAAGAAGGTAACAAAGACGGTGCGTTCCTATGTTTTGTCATTTTCTTTTTTCAACAAAAGTCAATCGGGCTATGCAACTCGGTTGCATGCAAACGAGTCCCCACGCCTGATGGGTCGGGGCTGCGGAACTAAGTTTCCGCCGTGGCGACGCTTTGAATCGCCACCACGATCGCCCGTCATCGTGGGCCTGACGATTTAAGACGCAGCAGCAGGAGGAGGCTTTCGCGAACAATATTATCCATAAGAGCTTTTTGGGTTAGATCACGTAAATATAAATGTATTAATATAAATGTATGAATATAAATGTATTTACGCGATAGAACAAAAAAACTCTGCAGCGACTCCTGTACTTACGAACCAGTTACGTTCCAGAGGCTCTGTTCGTAAGTCGATTTGTTCATGAGTCCAACTTTACCCCCCTGTCGATTCCAAACTTGTTGTACAGCGTGTAGATGCCACTGGTCTTCATGTTCTGTAGATGTAGATGCCACTGGTCTTTATGTTCTGTAGATGTAGATGCCACTGGTCTTCATGTTCTTAAGATGTAGATGCCACTGGTTCATGTGCTGTAGATGTAGATGCCACTGTCATGTTCTGTAGATGTAGATGCCACTGGTCTTCATGTTCTGTAGATGTAGATGCCACTAGTCTTTATGTTCTGTAGATGTAGATGCCACTGGTCTTCATGTTCTGTAGATGTAGATGCCACTGATCTTCATGTTCTGTAGATGTAGATGCCACTGGTCTTCATGTTCTGTAGATGTAGATGCCACTGGTTGTTCATGTTCTGTAGATGTAAATGCCACTGGTTTTCATGTTCTGTAGATGTCACTGGTCTTCATGTTCTGTAGATGTAGATGCCACTGGTTCATGTTCTGTAGATGTAGATGCCACTGGTTGTTCATGTTCTGTAGATGTAAATGCCACTGGTCTTCATGTTCTGTAGATGTAGATGCCATTGGTCTTCATGTTCTGTAGATGTGGATGCCACTGGTCTTCATGTTCTGTAGATGTAGATGCCACTGGTTGTTCATGTTCTGTAGATGTAGATGCCACTGGTCTTTATGTTCTGTAGATGTAGATGCCACTGGTCTTTATGTTCTGTAGATGTAGATGCCACTGGTCTTCATGTTCTGTAGATGTAGATGCCACTGGTCTTTATGTTCTGTAGATGTAGATGCCACTGGTCTTTATGTTCTGTAGATGTGTAGATGCCACTGGTTCTTCACGTTCTGCAGATGTAGATGCCATCACCGCCATCGACTGCACGGCCGTTGAATTTACGACTCTCGGTCCGAATGGGCAATTGGACGTATGGACCAGGTTTGTTCGTACCTCTAAAAGTTCGTAAGCCGAATGTTCCTAAGTAGAGGAGTCCCTGTTCTGAAATTATCCTGGCGATTTTGTGCGGAGGAAGAAGGGGCGTAGCTAACCGGTGAAGCGGGCGGGGCCCCTGTTGTGAGGGGGTGTGGCTGGGGAGTTTAGCCCCGCCCAAGGCACAATGCAACTTGTCGCTCGCTTGAGGGCGAGGGCAGTGGACAAAGAAGCCGAAGCTGCTGCTGTCGTGAAGTCGCCGCCCGTCCGTCGTGGTCGAGAGGTGTTCGCGTGGCGACGATTTCGCACAGCAGAGCGACACCACTCCCCTCCCCCCCACCCGAGAAGGCACGGAGTAGGCGGGCAGTCGGTCGGGACCCCGGTGATGCCTCGGGAACGCGCAGAAGACGTTCGAACCGTTCCCGTCTTGTTTCGGTTATTTTTAAAGAAGAAGTCGACATCGTCGACCACGACTTGAATTCGCTGCTGCGCGAGACATTGCGGCAGCGACCCCACGTGGGCCCGTGCCTGAACCGCCACGGTTTCCAGATTTCATTCCCCGCCTGCCAATGTTGCGACTCGCGATCGGGGGGTTCGCGGGTTCGATCCCGACCCTGGCAACGCCTGCTCTCTATTTGGAGTCTTGCGTGTGTCTCTCTCGCCTGCTCTCTATTTGGAGTCTGCTTGTGTCTCTCTCGCCTGCTATTTGGAGTCTGCTTTTGTCTCTCTCGCCTGCTCTCTATTTAGAGTCTGCTTGTGTCTCTCGCCTGCTCTGTATTTGGAGTCTGCTTGTGTCTCTCGCCTGCTCTGTATTTGGAGTCTGCGTGTGTCTCTCTCGCCTGCTCTGTATTTGAAGTCTGCGTGTGTCTCGCCTGCTATGTATTTGGAGTCTGCGTGTGTCTCTCTCGCCTGCTTTGTATTTGAAGTCTGCTTGTCTCTCTCGCCTGCTCTGTATTTGGAGTCTGCGTGTGTCTCTCTCGCCTGCTCTGTATTTGGAGTCTGCGTGTGTCTCTCTCACCTGCTCTGTATTTGGAGTCTGCGTGTGTCTCTCTCGCCTGCTCTGTATTTGGAATCTGCGTGTGTCTCTCGCCTGCTCTCTATTTAGAGTCTGCTTGTGTCTCTCTCGCCTGCTGTCTATTTGGAGTCTGCGTGTGTCTCTCTCGCCTGCTCTGTATTTGGAGTCTGTGTGTGTCTCTCTCGCCTGCTCTGTATTTGGAGTCTGCGTGTGTCTCTCTCGCCCCGTGGATTTGACTCCGGGTCCTCCGGTTTTTACCTCCACATTTTAGAATCGACGTTCACGCTTTTAGAGTTTCGCAGCCGCTATGCATTTCCAAATGATGACGACGAGGGCGACGGTGGTGGTGGCGGTGATGGTGGTGGTAAGCCACTTTGTTGAGCTCTCGTTTGTGATCCCATCAGTGAGGCCTTACCTGGTGAAATAAAAACGAGTTTAGTTGTTGTGGGGAGTGCGGCGCCTGGTGGATCAACCTCCACCCCCCCCCCCCGAGCGATGCCGATTTTATTTTTCGGGGTCCAGGTCGAATTTCCGGCGTTGCTGCTGCTCTGTCAGCGCAAGCGGAAAGATCCTCGGGGGGCCCCCACCAGCAGCACGCGGGGCGAAATGGCGGAACCAGGTCACGTGGAACCAGGTCACACGGAACCAGGTCGTGTGGAACCAGGTCACGTGGAACCAGGTCACACTGAACCGTGTCACACGGAACCACGGGGCGAAATGGCGGAACCAGGTCACGTGGAACCAGGTCACACGGAACCAGGTCGTGTGGAACCAGGTCACGTGGAACCAGGTCACACTGAACCGTGTCACACGGAACCAGGTCACATGGAAACGTGTCACACGGAACCAGGTCGCACCGCGCGTGACGCGGCACGTCGGGTGAAAGCGTCGGCCCCCTTTTAAAGTGGAGAGTTTAGCGAGTGAATGAGAATAATAAAGTGCACACTGTGGCTTATTTTTTTAAATTGAAAGTGGGGTGCGTGACTGTGTAAAGTGTCGATGTAAATAAAGTGGACAAGGCATGTCCTTGGTTTTTAAATTGCTGTGTGCGGGTACAACGTGTGTGTCTGGGCCTCCTTCCCCTAGGTCGACTTGACCTCAAATGAGTACCTGGGTGCGATGGGTTGGCTGACTGCGATGACCGGTAGATGCACACCACCTGTACCCCCTACTGTGCCAACTCGCTTTATTTTAGCCACCCGGCGCTCCGCTCGTTGTTGTGAGCGTCGCTCCTCCGCCCTCCGTTGTTGCTGGAGCGCAACTGCCACAAACTGCCCAGCAGCGTCCTTCACGAGCCTCCTCCTCTACAGAGGCCGATGTTGACACCGCTGGTACCAGTCATCGGCAAGTCCACTCAGCTCCACGTCCTCCTGTACCACATCACTCCATCTCTTCTCTAGCCCGTGCCGCGCCCGTTTAGTCCCCTCGATCCGGCCGAACAAAAGCTGGTTAGGCATGCGGTGGCTGGGCATGCGGGCTACATGACCCAGCCAACACAGCCTTGCCTGCGCCCAGCACCACCACCCACATACACCCACCAGTCACCCACCACCCTATCACTCGCCACCACCCACCCCACCACCACCCACCACCAACCTATCACTCGCCACCGCGTGGCACGCAGGCTGGGGGACTTCATTCACCACGACGGACAGCCTCGCCGCGCTGGAGACGTGATGGTTGGTGTCCGCCAGCAGTGGATCGAACTTAGACCTCCTTTGCCAGTAGCAAAATGTAATAATCGGGGTTTACCCCTTTTTTCTGGCAACAAAACTGAAACCTTTTTACAAGGATTCATGTCTGCATTAACCACAATACCTGCAGTCAAAATGCAAAAAAACATACTATGATAATATATGCATTGTCCTTGAAACTGATTGGTCCACACCAAGGGACGGCTTTCTTTTGAGCCTCGACCCAATTGGTGCTCGACCAGATGGCGCCAAAAGGCGTACAGCTCAAAGACAATGCATGATCAAAGTAATGAGGGCTCGGCGTGAGTATCTACATCATTAGACCTCCTTTGCCAGTACCAAAATGTAATAATAGGGTTTTTCCACTTTTTTCTGGCAACAAAACTGAAACCTTTTTACAAGGATTCATGTCTGCATTAACCACAATACCTGCAGTCAAAATGCAAAAAAAAAACATACTATGATAATATATGCATTGTCCTTGAAACTGATTGGTCCACACCAAGGGACGGCTTTCTTTTGAGCCTCGACCCAATTGGTGCTCGACCAGATGACGCCAAAAGGCGTACAGCTCAAAGACAATGCATTATCAAAGTAATGAGGGCTCGGCGTGAGTATCTACATCATTAGACCTCCTTTGCCAGTACCAAAATGTAATAATAGGGTTTTTCCACTTTTTTCTGGCAACAAAACTGAAACCTTTTTACAAGGATTCATGTCTGCATTAACCACAATACCTGCAGTCAAAATGCAAAAAAAAATCTGAATCCTTGTAAAAAGGTTTCAGTTTTGTTGCCAGAAAAAAGGGAAAAAACCCTATTATTACAAGTCGGATGATGCCGATGATGATGTTGACATTGCTACCTGTTCGCAGTATTGCGACGGCGTCTACTGCACGTGTCCTCCTGGCCGTGACCGCTCTCCCACGCCTCGTGCTGCCACTGGGGCACCCCCAGTTGTCTCGTTTCTCTGTCACGTGAGGGCCCCCCAGCGCCCCCAGAACTTCACACACAGACTCAGAGGCAAGTGCTGTCAGCGAGTAGCAGCACCGATGAAGACCGGCACTGGCACACGAGGTGGTGGGTGGCCAGCACCACGCACACGCCACAAAAACACGAGCAAAGATCTCGCCGTATAACCTCGACAGACTGTTGGGGCCAAGTGCTGTCCGCGAGCACCTATATACAACAGCACAGACACACACACACACGCTCAACTCTGCAGGCTAAGCCTGGCAGGGACTTAGCGCGAGCGAGGTGGACTGTAAAGAATCCCTCCGCCGATTCCCGATTTCGGGGGATTGTTTACCCCGAACAACAACGGCGCGTGGCTGTCTTGAGCATCGGCGGATGTGGTGGGGGGGGGGGGCGCTGAGCCAGCACCACGGAGAGCCGGGGTTGGGATCGTGGGTCAGGGTGTCTCTCAAGAGGATTGTGTCTAGATGTTGAGCCAGAGGTGTTCCAAGGCCTGGGTTTGAGCTCTAGATCTAGGTGCCTCTTCAGAGGTTAATGGTGGCCATGTCAGGTGATGTATCCATCAGTCTGACAGTAACCCTGTGGCGCTGCCCGCTACAAGAAGACACGTCCAGCAGTGGAGCTACGCAGAGGCTGCGAATCGCCACGTGACTAACCTGCTGAGAGAATCGCCACGTGACTAACCTGCTGAGAGAATCGCCACGTGACTAACCTGCTGAGAGAATCGCCACGTGACTAACCTGCTGAGAGAATCGCCACGTGACTAACCTGCTGAGAGAATCGCCACGTGACTAACCTGCTGAGAGAACCGCTCTGCGAGGGAATTTGCATTGAGTGCCGTGAGTTTGTGGCGACTCAACTGAAGGAGAATGATCATCCACGGGACGCACCCCGCCTAATCGATTAATTAATTGACTCGGTTTGAATATAATTAATTGATGTCTTCTCATCGCGACGTGCCCCCGCCCCCCCTCCCCCCGGTCTATCCACTGCTGGATGAACGCCTTTGCCGAGGCGTCGCCACCCGTCCACGGCCCAGCGATGAAGCGAGCGCCCCACGACACCCACGACACCCCACAACACCCACGACACCCACGACACCCCACAACACCCACGGCACCCACGACACCCCACAACACCCACGGCACCCACGGCACCCACGGCACCCACGACACCCACGACACCCACGGCACCCACGGCACCCACGACACCCCACAACACCCACGACACCCCACAACACCCACGGCACCCACGACACCCCACAACACCCACGGCACCCACGGCACCCACGACACCCACGGCACCCACGACACCCACGGCTCCCACGACACCCACGACACCCACGGCACCCACGACACCCACGGCTCCCACGACACCCACGACACCCCACAACACCCACGGCACCCACGGCACCCACGACACCCACGGCACCCACGGCACCCACGACACCCACGACACCCACGGCTCCCACGACACCCACGACACCCACGGCTCCCACGACACCCACGACACCCACGGCTCCCACGACACCCACGGCTCCCACGACACCCACGGCTCCCACGACACCCACGGCACCCACGACACCCACGGCTCCCACGGCTCCCACGACACCCACGGCTCCCACGGCACCCACGGCACCTACGACACCCACGGCACCCACGGCTCCCACGACACCCACGGCTCCCACGGCACCCACGGCACCTACGACACCCACGGCACCCACGACACCCACGGCACCCCACGACACCCACGGCACCCACGGCTCCACGGCACCCACGACACCCACGGCACCCACGGCTCCCACGGCACCCACGACACCCACGGCACCCACGACACCCACGGCTCCCACGACACCCACGGCTCCCACGGCACCCACGGCACCCACGACACCCACGGCTCCCACATAACCCACGGCACCCACGACACCCACGGAACCCACGGCTCCATCTCCTCCGGCGGCTGCGCCCAAGCGGAGCGAGCAGAAGGCGTGCCCCCCCCCAATGCCCCCCCCTCACCCACTGTCCCCCCCCCCACTGTCCCCCCCCCCACTGCCTCCCCCCCCACCGAAGGATTCGCGAGACCAATTGGGTCGAGCAGAAGATCAGCTCGAGAAGGAATCGGCATCGTCGACACGAGGAGCTGGGGACACACGGGGGGAGGAGGCGACCTCACTCTGTCTCTCTCGTCTGTCTCTCATCTCGCTACATCTTCAGTCTGTACCTCTTGTGGTGGTGGTGGTGGTGGTGATGATGTGCGTTGATGATGATGTGTCATGATGATGTTGTGTGATGTTAATGATGATGATGTGTGATGATGATGATGATGCTGTGTGATGCTGTGTGATGATGATAATGATGATGCTGTGTGTTGATGATGCTGTATGATGATGATGATGTTGTGTGTTGATGCTGATGTGTGGTGGTGATGATGCTGTGTGTTGATGATGATCATGTGTGTTGATGATGATGCTGTGTGATGATGATGCTGTGTGATGATGATGCTGTGTGTTGATGATGATGCTGTGTGTTGATGATGATGTGTGGTGGTGATGATGCTGTGTGTTGATGATGATCATGTGTGTTGATGATGATGCTGTGTGGTGATGATGATGCTGTGTGGTGATGATGCTGTGTGATGATGATGCTGTGTGTTAATGATGCTGTGTGTTGATGATGATGCTGTGTGTTGATGATGATGCTGTGTGTTGATGCTCTGTGATGATGATGCTGTGTGTTGATGATGATGCTGTGTGATGATGATGTGTGTTGATGATGATGATCATGTGTGTTGATGATGATGCTGTGTGTTGATGATGATGATCATGTGTGTTGATGATGATGCTGTGTGGTGATGGTGCTGTGTGTTGGTGTTGATGATGCTGTGTTATGATGATGCTGTGTGATGATGATGCTGTGTGGTAATGATGATGCTGTGTGGTGATGGTGCTGTGTGTTGGTGATGATGTGTGGTGATGATGAGGATGTGTGGTGATGATGATGCTGTGTGGTGATGATGATGCTGTGTGGTGATGATGCTGTGTGGTGATGATGATGCTGTGTGATGATGATGTTGTGTAGTGATGATGTGATGATGATCATGCTGTGTGGTGATGATGCTGTGTGTTGATGATGATGCTGTGTGATGATGATGCTGTGTGTTGGTGGTGATGATGCTGTGTGATGATGATACTGTGTGGTAATGATGATGCTGTGTGGTAATGATGATGCTGTGTGGTAATGATGATGCTGTGTGGTGATGATGATGCTGTGTGGTAATGATGATGCTGTGTGTTGATGATGATACTGTGTGTTGATGATGATGATGCTGTGTGTTGGTGGTGATGATGCTGTGTGATGATGATGCTGTGTGGT